CTTCTGACTGCAAGTCTCCATGTAGCCCTTTGCTTCAGCAGGCACTCCAAGAGCAGGCTCATTCCATGCATATGGTAATGCTGACCAGGTAGAGGCAGAGATAGCTAAACCTCTGCCTACCACCCATTTCTGATGTGTCAACAGCTGCAGTCAGTACCATGAGGTCACAAACCATAGCACATCTCAGGCCCTCTGTGCCTACTCTGTGGGCAGATGTTCAGTGCAACAACCTTTGAGCCTTCCACTGAATCCTTTGGCCAATAGGCTCTAGTGGGGCAGAGCTTCTCCTCCTCCAATGCTTTCTATGGTGTCAAGATTGTACCTGCCCATCTCTGGTCTTAGGGGATTTGTCATTTTCCAGGAGCATGTACCCAGGAGATGGGTGGCAGGGCACTTCTGAGCTGTGAATGGGATTTGGGACTATCTTTCTTTCCTTCTTATTTATTTATTTATTTGGCATTGTAAGGAGGACTCCAAGGTTGAGCATGACCAAAGTCCCCTGCCTCAGTTTTCTCACCTTGAAGTACACCCATAAGATGAGAATAGATTCATAAGTCTTCTATTTAGATGACACCTCAAGATTTTGTTCACTCAACAAGTTATTATCATCTGCCCTTTGATGTGGGTTTGTGGGAGATCTGGTGGCAGGAGAAGTTTATGCTAAGAAGACAATGATAGAAAAGAACCTTCCTATGAAAGAGGAAACCTTAGGGTTCAAAAGATTCTGGCCTCAAATGTGCGGAGCTCTCACAGTCCCTCCAGTCAAATCCAGAGATGAGGATCTTTCTTGGTTATGCATCTTTGTAGAAACATGGGCATTATGATAGAAGCTGAAGGATCTCAGCCTCGTCCAGAGTAATGAGAGGTTTGACAGCCTCCCCGTCAGTCAGGATGCATAGTCCGGGCCCAGCTTCAGTTACCAAGCCTCTGCCTACCACCTGCCTATTTTCATTTTAGACAATGGTGTCATTTCTGGGCTCTGCTACCTCTGAGATTTTATCTTAACTCAATGGTTCCTGCCTCACATGGGCATGGCATCTAAAAATGATGTAGGTGATTCTATTGGCATCTACAGCTTTTATCACATCATTTTGTAATTGTCTATGTCCTTGTCATCTATCCTAGGACTGAAAAAGCCTTTAGGACAGGCATAATGCAGACAAGTCATCTCTGTCTCCCTTCCTCCTCTTCTCCTTATCCCCACAGTGCTGGGGACTCTTGCTCTTCTCCTCCTCCTCCTCCCCTTCCTCTGCACAGCCACCCCACACATCATGCTCCTCTACCCTCTCTGACTCCATGTGCTCCAAACAGAATGATACATCAAGTGCGTGAGGTTTAGTTGTACACATGAAGCCAAGCTACAGTGTTGCATTATCACTAAGTGAATTGTGAATATTGGCCTTGAATGCTCTGATTGTTGTGCTGTTCTTCACTCCCCCTACCACAGTATCCTGGCTCAGATCCTATTAAATTACATTTAATATATTTTTTAATTGACCTCCATGCTTTTTGATTTTCTTACCTTTGTGTCCAAAGCCTTTTGTGATTCAGCACACTTTCCCTGCATTTATTGGTAATTCAGTATCTTTCATTCAAATTTCTGGGGAAATCAAGTGGCTGGTAGTTCTTTTCACCCACTGAACAAAAGAATGATTAATAAATGCTTATTAAATAAATGAATGGAATATCTTACATAGCTAGGGTTAACATTTAATCTGCTTGCCCCTGGATGGCTCCTGTTTATACACTTCATCCATGTGTAGTTATTAATAATCCCCTTTTGTCATCAAACCTGTCTCAACAACAAATTGTATATTGTGGCAGTCATCAAGTAGATTTCTATTTCATTGTCTCTTCTACTAGGTAGTTCTTGGGTATCAGAAATTATATTTGTTTATTTTTTATATCCTCAATTACTCATTCAACAAGATATTCTATCAAGATACTGAGTTTTAATGTCAAAGGAAACATGTTTCTTGCCTTCATAATGTTTTCAGTCTGGTAAGAAAGAACAATCTAACCAAAGACTATTGCCTGACACAGTAAACACCAGTGTGAAATGAGTAGATAGATTTAAGCATTCCTAATCCAGCATCTCTAATCCCATGAATTATAATTGACAGAAGTAAGCCCAAACATAGAACTCCATGCCATCCAGCTACCATTTGCATTTCTACTTAAAAACTTAAAAATCCAACAACACATATATACCTAAGAATGTATAATATTTATATGCTATATTGATATTAAACATAAGAAAAAATAATCATGGAGTAATATCAACTTTGAATCTCCTTCCTTTTTTATTTGTTAAAGGATTTATTTATTTACTTGAAAGAGTTACACAGAGAGAAGAGAGGCAGAGAGAGAGAGAGGTCTTCCATCCGATTGTTCACTCCCCAATTAGACAGCACGGCCGGAGCTGCGCCGATCCAAAGTCAGGAGGCAGGAGCTTCTTCTGGGTCTCCCACGTGGGTGCAGGGGCCCAAGGACTTGGGCCATCTTCCATTGCTTTCCTAGGCCATAGCAGAGAGCGGGATCAGAAGTGGAACAGTTGGGTCTCAAACTGCCGCCCATATGGGATGCTGGCACTTCAGGCCAGGGCATCAACCAGCATGCCACAGCACCTGCCCCTCCTTCCTTTTTAGACAAGTTATAATCCTATAATCCTACAGTGTACATTATCTTTGTAGATACTCTTTCACTCATTTTTTATTTTCCAGATGAAAAATACGGAGTTTTAGAAATTGGGCCTCCGGACAAAAGAAGGATTTCTTAAACTAGTATTTCATTTTTGTTGGCCTTTAACCTAGACTTCTTAACCATATGGCCATGGGCAAATTCAATTCTAAACACTTTCCACCTCATTTTCCTCTTTGTAAATTGATAATTCCGTCTCCAGAACTAATCTAAGGTATAAATATTATGATGTAAAGCATTTAGTCCCTTAACCTGGCTCCTGGAAGATACTAGGCAATGTTAGTTCTGTGTCCAGTTCTCCTATTTGTTTCTGTACTTGGTGAATTAATGGATGGTGTACAATGATTTGAAAAAAATAAACACCAATAAAACACAAATAAAAATTGTATTCTCACATTTGGATATTAAACTATGCTATCTACACCTCTGCTAAAAGTTATATTGTATTCATAGTCATTTATTATTTGAGAGATGTCCAGGAACAAAGCAGCCAGTAAGCTTTTCCTGAAAGAAGACAGACTTTATGAAAGAATCACGGTTTGGGAGCAGCAGTTGCTGTCATTTTTTTAAGACTTTGGTTCAAGAAAGGAAGAACATCAACTCATCCTTGAGATTTTGGGGTGGGAACGAGGGGAAGGAGGGGTGTAAGGAAAACCACCTGGGCTCCCAGTCTGTCTCCGCCCACCCCACACTGAAGCCCTTGGGCGGGCCCGCTCGGCTCCAGGAATGCCCCGGTCTGGACTCCATTTCCCAGAATCGCCAGCGCCTCTGACGTTTTCCGCGCTCCGAAAGCTAGTGCGTGGGAATGCGGGAGAACGTGCCCTGCGCACGCGCGTGCGCATGCCTGTCCCTGTGGCGCTCAGCTGGGAACGGAGGAAGTTCGCGTACTTATCCGCGTGGGCCCTGGGGGACCGCGTTTCTTCTCCCACATTCACTGCGTGTCTTTCTCTGCAAGTGCAGTCCCAGGCGGTTTGCGAACACACACCCGAGCCTGCCCCCGCTGCTTCTGCGCCTCTGCATCTGCCGCCGTGGGCCCACGAGCCGGGGACTTTTCCTGCCTCACGCTCCCCGCTTTGCTTCTCGTGTGTCCTGCGGAAGGAGGACGTGCTCCAGGACTTTCCACGGCAAGTACGGAGAACAAGAAGGGGCGCGGGTGCGTATGTGTGGGAGAGGGGTGGGAGAGGGCGGCTGGCGGCTCCGAGATGTCTCATTTTCTTGTCAGCGGTCCTGGCGGCTTTCCCGGGCACGGTCAGGGCTGAGACCTTGGCTGTCTTGTTCCCCCTCCGCCGCTGCCCAGCCTCCCGGCGCCCGTCCAGTCCTGCGCGTTACCTTGTTCAGATTTTCCTTAATGTGCTTATTTAGTGTTTACAAGAGAGAGGTCACCGGATGTCGGAACTGCGCAAGCAAGGCAGGAGAGAGCACAGGGAGCCGGAGAGACTCCCCTTCGCTGTATTTAAATTAGCCTGGTTCTCTTTGGGTGGGTCGAGTAATGCTGTCTGGAAGGGCCTCCTGCAGTATCCTGCGACGGTTCCATCCGTGTGGGGCTCCTTGGCTGTCAGCGGGGAGCCGGAGGCGGCAGAGGGCTGGGGAAGGAGGATCAAACTAGGATCTGCCCCGCCGCCCCCATCCTGAACCTCGTCGGCCCGTGGGGTTCCCGCGGACACACCTGTCATCTGGGTCCCTGTGTGTGCGGCTGACTTTTTCCCAGGGCGAGTAGCGCGGGTGATGTACGGTAGCTTTGTGTATAGGACCCTCTTCCGTGATTAGTTAGCGCAAGCTTTGCAGTCTGGAGTGTGAGGGCGGGGAAACGTAGCTGGCTTGTTTTGCTGCTTTTTGATGTCTGGATCCACCTACCGCACACTGAAGCCCTTGCGGAGGGCCGTCTGGTCTCGCTGGGAGTGCCCGCGCCTGGACTCCATTTCCCAGAGTCGCCAGGTGCTCTGACGTTTTCCGTGCTCCGAATGCCCCTGCGTGGGACTGTGGGGAACGCGCGCGTGCGCGTGCCTGCCCGCCCTGTGGCTCCTGGTTGGGAACGGAGGCGCTTAGCCTACTGATCCGCGTGGGCCCAGAGAGGCCGCGCTGCTCCTTCTCCCACACTCACCGCCCGTCTTGCTCTGCAAGTGCAGTCCCAGGCAGTTTGCGAACACGCCCCAGGCCTGCCCCCCGCTGCTTCTGTGCCTCTGCCTCTGCCGCCGTGGGGCCCACGAGCCGGGGACTTTTCCTGTCTCACACTCTCCGCTTGCTCCCCTTGCGTCCTGCAGAAAGGGGACTGCTCCCAGGACTTTCCACGGCAAGTATGGTGAACAGGAAGGGGCGCAGATTTGTGTGTGAGAGGGGAAGGTGAGAGGGTGACCGGCGGCTCCCAGACTTGGGGAGCTTGCTTGTCAGTGACCCTAGCAGCTTCTTCTGCAGTCAGGGCTAGGACCGGGTGTCCTGTTTCCCAGCGCCACTTCCCAGCGTCCCAGCACTCGGCCAGTACCGCGGGCAACCTCGCTTAAACTTAATGTGCACCAACGGGAGACCTGCACTAGCAGAACAGGTAAGAGCTCAGGAAGGAAGGCAAGGAGACTCCCGTTCTCTATATTTAAATAAGGCCGGTTCCCACTTCAGGTGGATAGCAGAATGCCCTCCCGCGGTGATTCTGGCCGGGAGGGGCTCAGTAGCTTTCAGCAGGGAGCCCAAGGCAGCAGGGGGGTATGATGGAGGATGAGACTAGGGTCTGCTTCCCGCCCTCCGTCCTGCACCTCTGTGGCCCGGTGGGGTCCCCGGGGACACATCTGGCAGCTGGGGCCCTGAGTGTTTGGGTGATCTTTTCTCAGCGGGAGCAGCATGAAGGGTGTTCAATAGCTTTATGGATTCTCTCTCTCTCGTGTTCAATTAATTAATTTCTTGCTTAATTTAATTAATTTTTCAATCTGGAGCTTGAGGCCATGGACACATAGCTGGTGATTTATTTTGCTGCTTTCTGATCTCTGTCTTCAGCCCTTCTTTCTTCTCCTGTTAGCAAGGGTGTCGACTGCTATTACCTGCTGCTGATCCCTTTGCAAAGTGATAAATGAATTGAAACTAGTACACGTCTACTGTGTGAGTCAATAATGAGCTATTTTAATATGGATTAACATAAAGAGAACAATGAAAGCGAAAATACAGAAAAGTAACAGTTTTTCTCTTCCCAGTTCTTTACAGTCACCCAGTGCTCCACCAAGTTGATTATCTTATAGTCCATACTGTGTTAATTAAGAGGGCCAGTTACTTCTCTTATTCTGGGTTCTGTGTTTAGCCTCATGACATTTTTAACATGGGAGGATATTAGTTCAAGATTTTCATAACGGCTGTGGGCTGTGGAAGCCTTTGTACAACTTATTAATTTGAGGAGGGGTAAGAAAAAAGAGAAAAAAGTGCCCCTCCCCCACCCAGAGATGCCCACATAGAATAAACGATGTAGTCTTGAAAACTATTGCTACAGACTAACTTTCAATGTAATGAAGTTTTCACATGAATAACAGTGATTCACACATTCTGTTAGAGTGGTGTTGTCACCAGATTACTAATGTATGAAATTCATTTAGCATAATGAGGTTATCTAGGAAGTAAAAATAGAAACTGAATCCTGGGGTAGCGAGTATGAGGGTGACAGCATTTCTCCTCTCAAACCCAGTGTCTTGTTTTGATCTTATCTCCAGTTTACTTCCTATCACAGTGTTTACGAATGGGTAAGCATTTATGTGTTTCTGGTGGGAAAAGCTGTTTCACACCTGAGAAACAACTGTAAGACCACTTTCTGAGCAACCCTGTTGGGTGTCCATTAAATGTGACTTGGAAACAGCCAAGAACAGGATTCCTAGACTCATCAGGGTAGTTGGCTGCCCTTGGCACATCATTCCCTGCACTGCTGTAAGTTTCTGGCAAGTTCTTTACCATTTGTAAGAGAGAAGTGTTTTATGTGAGGTACATAATCTGGTAACGTAGCAGTGATGTCCTTAAGGAAAGGTGCCATGTGATGAAGCAATTTGATTGTGTCTGTCCATCTTCCCATTAATGGCAGTCATTGATGTCTTCCACATGTTGGTAGTAGGAAATTCTCTCTGAATTGCATCAAGCCAGGAGGATTCATCTAGTTTATCAAATGTTTCTCTGTGTGAAGGAATAGCTAAAATATTACATTGTATAGGGTGTTTTTTTTTTTTTTTTTTTTAAGATTCATTTTATTTACTTGAAAGGCAGAGTTACAGAAAGGGAGAGACACAGAGAGAAGTCCTGTATCCATTGGTTCACTCTTTAAATGACCACAATGTCTTGGGGTGGACCAGGCTGAAGCCAGGAGCTAGGAGCATCTTCCTAGTTTCCCACTTGGGTACAGAGGCCCAAACACTTTGGCCATCTTCCACTGCTTTCCCAGGTGCTTTAGCTGAGAGCTGGATTGGAAATGGAGCAGACAGGTCTTGAACCAGTGTCCATGTGGGATGCCAACACTGAAAGTGGCTGCTTAACCTACTATGCCAGCCCCAGGTGGATTTTTTTCAAAGTGGGGGGTAAATTTTTTCTGGTATGACTGTCTATATAAAGATTATAATCTGTAGTAGATGATGATTTTGGTTATATTTTGTTTCAATTTCTTTTTAGTGTATATTTTTGAAGTTTATGAGTCCTAGTATTTATGTTGTTATCCTGGCTTTGATAAATAAGCTTTCTCTCATCTCATTTAAAATAATTTTAAAAAGAGAGAGAGAGAGACCAGTTTCAGTTCCCAAATGGCAACATTGGCTAGGGTAGGGCCAGACTGAAGCCAGAAGCCTGAAACTGCGTTTGGAACTCCCATGTGGGTGGCAGGGACCCAAGTGTTGTGCCATCTTCTGCTGCCTTTCACAGGTGTATTAGTAGGAAACAGGATTGGAATAGAGCAGCTGGGACTTGAACTGGTGCTTGTATGGGTTCTGGCATTGCAGATGGTAGCTTAACCTAGTGTGCTTGAATGCTAGCCCAGCAATAGATATTTTGAAGTGGCTATGAAAATGCACAATCTAAATTCACAAGGGAAATGGAAAGAAGTTTCTTTTAACTCCAGTTCATTCCGTGGGCCTTTATTGGACATTATCTCTGACTGGGCCAATAAGCAAAGCAAAAGAAGTCAGAGCATTAGTTAATATTTTGCTCTAAATCAGGGGTGGGGAACCTCCAGCCTGTGGGCCATGTAAGGTTGATGAAATCATTTGTTCTGGCCCTGCCAAGACAACTGCAGGTCAGACTGGATAATTAATCTACAGCAAGCTGATTTTTGAGTGAATAGTTTTGTATGGTCCAATAATAATGTTATAAATATCCAAATGGCATGACAGAAAAAACTTTCCCACCCCTGAAAAATGTTAATAGCAAATCCATTGCAGTTTATTAATCTGTATATGAGTGAATGAAAGGGGCTGGTGCTGTGCCCTAGTAGGTTAAGCCTCTGCTTGTGGCTCTGGCATTCTATTTGCGCACTAGTTCATGTCCCTGCTGCTCCTCTTCTGATCCAGCTCTCTGCTAATGGCCTGGAAAGGCAGTAGAAGATGGCCCAAGTGTAGGGGCCCCTGGGGAAGCTCCTGGCTTTGGGTCAGCCCAGCTCTGGCTGTTGCAGCCATCTGGGGAGTGAAACAGTGGATGGAAGATCACTCTAACCCTGCCTCTCAAATAAATAAATTTTAAAAAAAGAGTGGATGATTAACTATTATTACCAATCCTGTGGAAGAAAGCACATCTAGGCAACATATGCCAATACCAATTATGTTTCTAAATACTATCAGAGATTCTGGGCAGGTTGTTGAAATGGCTTTATTCCTTCTCAGAACAGAGAAATTGGAATCCTTTGTGATGAGAGAGGATGAGAGAGGCATGTGCATCAAAAATAATGCTGCTGCTGTTGGCTCACAGGGAACCTGTTTCTGGAAATGCATGTTTATGACCAGTGTGCGTGAGGTATCTACATGTACAACCGGTACCAACTCAGTATGTATAAATGTTCTTTTCTAGATGTGCATGATGGGCTTCTTCAGTGCCTGGTCCTTGTTGGGGGAGATGAGGAGAGGATATATTTGGGGGAATTGCATAGCTCAAAACTGGTCTCTGAATATCAAGTCTGCCATGAGTAGTGCTGCATTAATTTATAGAACCCCCACCTACTGTATTGGGTGGCTTGATTTTGCAAGGTCAGTAATGAAAAATCTTTCTCATTCTCTCCCATCCTCTCTGTGTCTCTGCCTTGCAAATAAATGAATAAATCCAATCAAAGAGAGATATCTTCTGTCTGAGATGGCTGCTATGGGAATAATGTATTTCTCAGGGAATAGTGTATTTGAAGGTTTTTGTAAGCCTTTTTATTCACTTGTCTGTGGTGAATTTAACCTGGAATGTGTATAGACCAAAATCAGCTATGTGTAGACTACAGGAAATTGTTGAAATTTCTGAGTGATTATGGTGTGCTGCTGCTGCCCACTGACTCCTAAGGCCTGTGGTGTCTCGTCTGAGCATCTGTAAGTCAGAAATATGGAGTCTCCACCACTTGGGAATTCCATTTTTTTCCTCCTGTTTCTTTTCCCTTTTTTTTCTTTGCTATTTCTGCTGGCTTGCAAAGGGCATGATTGCCCAGAAATAATCACTGCCTTGATCCAAGATGCCACTTGGCTTCCTTCCCTGGGAAGACTGCTTCCTGTGTGACATTGGCCATTGAAAGAGATTGATGAACTCACACTGGGCATTTTCTAGGTGGATGACTTATCCTACCTTCCAGCCCTTTGGCAGTGCAATGAATGCCACTGCATTAGAAGTGTAAGTTCCTAGGGAATTTGATGGAGCAGAGGGCTGAAGAAACTCATCATCCTTCATTTCATTGCTTTTCTCATCATGTTTCTCTGGTCTTGGTATTATTTTTTAGCTTTTCCTTTGGTTCATATCCAGCAGACTGCATGGGATTCTATTTTCATAACTGCCAGCCCTTTTCCACATCAGGCTACTTTTCAGAGAAGGACAAAGATGATATCAGTCACCATAAACTATGTCAAGTAATTATGTTTTTATTGTGATTTCAAGACTGGAAAACTGACTTCTCTTAGGACTTAACAGGTTTGATGGGTGTTTGCCCTGGGATTACTCTGAGTGCTAGACACAATTGTTTTGTGTGGTTGCTATATATTTCAGTTCCTGCTTGTGGAAAAGTTTTTCTCATGTTCTCTGAGTGCCTGGTTGGGCTACACCTGCCTATAGTGGAAACTGAACCTTCATTTGGCACTTGGAAACTCAGAGTGCTGAGTCCTGTAATCTTCTGCATGAATGTGTTCAGAATGTATTCAGAAAAATGTGTTTTGAAATATTTGGGCTGTGAGTAGGCAGGGCAGTTTTCCTGGATCCTGGTAAGAATTGATGAACCGATGGTGTTTTCCTATACCACATTATGTTCTGAGATGTAAAAAAACTATATCTGAACTTTGATCCCCCTGTTCCAGAATTTTTGTGCTTCCATCCTTTTTCTTTCTTTTTCTTTTTCTTTTTTTTTTAAAGAATTACTTTATTTATTTGAAAGGCAGAGTTATAGAGAGTGGTAGAGCCAGAGAGAGAGAGAGAGGTCTTCCATTCCACTCGTTCACCCTCAAATGACCACAATGACAGAGCTGAGCTGATCCAAAGCCAGGAGCCAGGAGCTTCCTCTGGTTCTCCTAAACGGGTACAGGGGTCCAAGCACTTGGGCCATCTTCTGCTTTCCCAGGCCATAGTAGAGAGCTGGATCGGAAGAGGAGCAGCTAGGATATGAACCGGTGCCCATATGGGGTGCTGGCACTGCAGGTTGGGGCTTTAACTCACTGTGTCACAGTGCTGGCTCCTGTATTCCATCCTTTTTATAACCACAGACATGAGTATCCTTTTTCCTTCTCTTTATGTTGCTAGAAGAGCAAAGGAGACATTGCAGTTCTCTCCCCTGTCAGTGTATCTTCTTCAGTCTATCTCTTTGAATTATGTACTGGGTTAACTTTGCTACACTAAAAGGCAACTATCTAAACCCAGTGTACCTTTTCAATAAAAGTCATAAAATCAACCTGCCTTCCATACCTCTCATCTTTTATCTTGAAACATGTGTGTGTCTTTTATGTCATTGTCTATAAGCTGGAGACCCCACTTAAGGCAGAAAGCTGCTGAGGGACAGCACAACTGTAGCCTTGCTCTGTTATTTGACTGTTGCTCCTCTTTCACCTGTTCCTTTTATTTATTTATTTTTTTAAGGTCAAACATTTTTATTTTAAAGACAGAGTTACAGAGAAAGAGGCAGAGACTGAAGGATGGGGCTCTTGGGTTTGCTGGTTCATTCTTCAAGAGACCACAATCAGCAGGACTGACCCAGGTTATATACTGGAGACTGGAAGTCCATCCAAGTCTTCAAAATGGGTACAGAGGTCCAAGTATTTGCACCACCTGCTTCTGCTTCCCAGTTGCATTAGGGAACTGGATCAGAAATGGAACAGCTGTGGCTCAAACTGGCACTCATGGGGCTGGCATTGTGGTACAATGGGAAAAGCCACCACCTGCAATGCCAGCTTCTCATATGGGTGCCAGTTCATGTCCTAGTTGCTCCATTTCTGATCCAGCTCCCTGTTAATGGCCTGAGAAAAGCAACAGAGGATGGCTCAAGTGTTTGGGCCCCTGCAACCCGTGTGGGAGACCCAGATGAACCTACTGGCTTCTGGTTTCTATCTGGCTCAGCCCTGGCCATTGCAGCCACTTCAGGTAGAAAATCTCTCTCTTTTTTTAGGATTTATTTATTTATTTGCAAGGCAGAGATACAGAGAGAAAGGGAAAGAAAGAGAGAAAAAATTTCCATCTGCTGGTCTACTCCTTAGATGGCTATAATGGCCAGGGCTGGGCCAGGTCCAAGCCAGGCCCAAACCAGGAGCCAGAATCTTCATCCAGGTCTCCCATATGGGTGGCAAGGACCCAAGTATTTTGGCTATCTTCTGCTTCTCTGAGACCAATAGCAGGGAGCTGGATCAGAAGTGGAGCATCCAGGACATGAACTGGTGCCCATATAGGATGCCAGCATTGCAAGCAGCAGCTTTACATAGTATTCCACAATGCTGTCCCATCTGTCTTTCCCTACTCTCTGTAACTCTTTTTTTTTTTTTTTTAATGATTTATTTATTTGAGAAAGGTAGAGACAGAGCAAAAGATGTCTTCTATCCACTGGTTCAGTCCCCAATGGCCAGAGATGAGCTGATCTGAAGCCACAAGCCAGTAGCTTCTTCTGGGTCTTCTAGGTGAGTGTAGGGGCCCAAGGACTTAGGCCACCCTCTGCTGCTTTCCCAGGTACATTAGCAGGAAGCTGAATTGGAAGTGGAGCAGCCAACATCTGAACCAGTGCCCACATGGGATTCCAGTACTTCAAGCCAGGGCCTCGACCAGCTGTGCCACAGTGCCAGCTCCCATAACTCTGACTTTCAAGTAAATAAATATGTAACCTTTTTTTTTTTTTTTAATGGACACTTAAATTGGATGCCAGTATTTTATTTAGTGGTGGCTTGATCCCCCGTGGCACAAAGCCAGCCCCTCCCTTTTATCCTTTTGTTGACTTGTGTGTCAAGATCTTTGTGATATCTGCTGAACAAATATTGGCATTACATTGGACTGTTCTGTTTTATTTTGGTTCTTGTTTAGTGAGTTTATGTTGGTTGTCATTTTTGAGTAGCTAGCTATAATGTCATCAGTGTCTAAAGCTGCCATGCTTTAAGTTGGTACTGATTCTTTTTTCTCTTTTTCAAAGATTCACATATTTAATTTTTTTATTTTTTAACTTTTAAGTGATTTATTTATTTATTTGAAAGAGTTACAGAGAAGGAGAGGCAGAAACAGATTTTTTTTAAAAAGATTTATTTATTTATTTGAAAGGCAGAGTTACAGAGAGACAGAGGTAGAGAGAGAGGTCTTCCATTTGCTGGTTCACTTCTGAAATGGTCACAATGGCCAGAGCTGCACTGGTCCAAAGCCAGGAGTCTAGAGTTTCTTCCAGGTCTCCCATGCAGGTACGGGGCCCAAGGACTTGGGCCATCTTCTCCTTTCCTAGGCCATAACAGAGTGGGATCAGAAGTGGAGCAGCCATGACTTGAATTGGCAGCCATATGGGATACTGGCACTGCAGGCCAGAGGCTTAACCTGCTGTGCCACAGTGCTGGCCCCTGAAACTGTTTATACCTTTTTATTTCTTCAAATATAAGCGGAAAATGAAATCCTCTCAAACCAATATGCTATGAAGTAGTAATTGAAGATCAAGCTTGCTTTCTTCTCATCTAACAAATCCACGAGGTCTCTGTGTTTCTTATTTTAGCCTAAACCTATGTCAGATTCCTGGAGCAGGAGGAAGCTTATTTTTCCAGTCATAATTCATAGATGTGGTTATCCATTCACTTCTGAGGATTGAAGCCATAATTCTGCTTTTTGCCTGGTTTGCCATTTGCGATGGCATAATCTCCCACAGGGAGATGGATCCTTCACGTAAGAATACACCTAGGTGGAAGAAAGTTTATGGAGTCTGTTTTCCAAAGTGAAACGGAATTCTGTCCGGGACATTCTTGAGACTGTGATCAGCAGGGTGGGGAAATTCTTAGCTATACACATTAACATCCTTTTTTTTTTTTTTTTTTTTTTTTTTGACAGGCAGAGTGGACAGTGAGAGAGAGAGACAGAAAGAAAGGTCTTCCTTTGCCATTGGTTCATCCTCCGCGTGCTGCGGCTGGCACACCGCACTGATCCGAAGCCAGGAGCCAGGTGCTTCTCCTGGTCTCCCATGGGGTGCAGGGCCCAAGCACTTGGGCCATCCTCCACTGTACTCCCGGGCCACAGCAGAGAGCTGGCCTGGAAGAGGGACAACCGGTACAGAATCCGGTGCCCCGACCGGGGCTAGAACCCGGTGTGCTGGCGCCGCAAGGTGGAGGATTAGCCTATTGAGCCGCGGCACCAGCTAACATTAACATCCTTTTTTCCCCCAATGTATTCCTCCCTTGTGGTATACTCTCTGCTGTTGCCCACACAGGGAGTGTCTGTAATTGAGGCTATTTGTTCACCACTGCAGCATCTGGAGTTGCCTTTGAAACCATCTGCAATCAGAAATTCAGGTGCAGGGTGAAGAGGGGACTGGCATCCTGTAGCCACTCAGGTTTGGGCCCCTTGCTCCATTTTTTCCTTCAGTGCTTGAGCAGCCTTGGAAGTTGTACTGAATAGCATTGGTTCTTTTGGATTTGAGTGCTTGGATAGCAAGAGAAATAACTTTTTTTCTGTAAGAAAGGATTGAGGGGCTGGTGCTGTTGCATAGCAGATAAAGCACCACCTATAGTGCCGGCATCCCACGTGGGCGCTGGTTTGAGTCCTGGCTGCTCCACTTCTGATCCAGTTCTCTGGTATGGGCTGAGAAAGCGATAGAAGATGGCCCCTGGACCCATGGGAGAGACCCAGAAGAAGCTCCTGGCTTTGGATGGGTACAGCCCCAGCCATTGCAGCTAATTGGGGAGTTAACCAGCAGATGAAAGACACCTCTATCTCTCTGCCTCTCCTTCTCTCTCTGTGTAAATTTGGCTTTTAAGTAAATAGAGTTCCAGAGAGAGAGAGAGGGAGGGAGGGAGACATTAAAATATCCATCTGCTGGTTCATATCCCTAAGGTCAGAACAGCTGGGGCTGGACTGGGTTAAAGCCAGGAGCCAGCATGTTCCGTATTTCCTATGTGGGGGCAGTAGCCCAAGCGTCATTCTTTGCTGCTTCCCCAGGCACATTATGGAGTTGTATCAGAGGTGGAGCAGCTGGGACATAAACTCATGCACAATATCGGATGCCAGCATCACAGGCAGCGGCTTTTCCACTATACTCTGTTGTCTGTTTATGGAAATATATATATATTTAAGGGGTATTAGGTCATTCAGGCCCTCCCTACGAAACCATTTTGAAATAATGACTGAGTTGCAGTCTGTAAAATTGCTTCCAAAGAGAGAGCTTCAGGGACAGAGAGGGTAGTGATGTAGAAGGGATATGAAGGACAAGGGAGGATGGAGAGGCCAGAAGAAGTCTTGGAAAGTATTCAAAGCACAAAGTAATAGGACATAGGTCATTTGTGCAGATCACCAAAATTAACATTATTTTAGAGTTCCTTTTTTGTTAAATTTAGAGACAATTCCTAACATAGTTTCTGATATACATGGCTCACTTTTCAGTTTTCTTCCAATGGTTAAGATGTGCTTATAAAATATAGGGAAGTGGTGTAATTAAATGCAATAATGCACTCCTAAATGTGCAGTAAGCATTAAAGTTTTGTTGAGAGAGGGATGAGCATGGCTTTATGTGTATCTCTTGCTTAGAACAGAAAGTTTTATGACTGAATTTGAGGTAATGAAAAATCAGTTTTATAATTGAAACATTGACCATTTTTCTGCTGCAGCCTCCCACCTATACTCTGTATCCCCAAGCAGATAGTCCACATGAGAGCACACCAGAAAGACGCCTGCGGATTTGGAGTATTACAAGTATGTCCTTTGCTTAAACCAGGGGATTGGTTGACTGGGGTTCTTTGTGATTCAGTTTGCGTTTTTCTGTAGAGTGGAATATAGTAATTTGGGTACAGTATCTTGTCTCCTCGTAGATGATTCCAGTTGGCTTTCTCGCCCATCTACCTGGCATCACAGGTGATTCACAAGGCAGGTATTAGGCTCTATGGAAAAAAAAAATAGCCTCTTCAAGGTTGACTTATTTCTCCTGGAAATTGAGAGAAGTGTTTTGTAAGAAGCAGTTCATGGAGGATGTATACTTCCCTGAAAAGGAAACTGAAGTGATTCCTTTTAATGGCCCCACCCTGAACTAGTTCCTGAGGCTCATTGATCAGGGAAAGAATGCTAATATTTATAGAACAATTATGAATAATCCACATTTGTTTTACATGTAAGATGTCTACAGATCTGTTTCTCAAGGCCCTTAAGATAAAGTAAGGAAATTTTACAACAAAAGAGAAGGTTAGCATTGTCTGCTGCCTTGGGCTAGGATCTGTGCATTTATTTCCCACTTAGCACTCTGGCTCCAGTTGTGTGAATCTCCTGATGGTTCTTTTTAGACCATTTATGTGTCCAGACTCCTGAATGGGTGACACTATATTTAGCTAGACTGCCAGTCTGATAAGTCAGTCTGAATTGCCGTTGGCTAGTTTGTTGACCCATTCTAGGGTTAAGGGGGCCCAAAACTGCCGATGACTGGGCTGCCTTCATGCTCACTCGAGAGACTCGTGCACAGGTCCGCACAGGTCCCAAGTGGCTTTGCTTGGCTCTCTTTCCTTGGTCTCCCTGGTGACTCAGCTGGTTCTCCAGTAGGCAAGAAACCTGTTGGCTCACGGCAACCTCTGGATTTCTGTTTTACTCTTCATCTGCATTGTATTTAAAGTTTTCTCTCAGGTCTCAAATGTCCTGAATAGGGAGTGTTACTTTGTATTGAGATGTGTCTTTATAAAGACAGGTATCACTGAGTGAGGACTGTGTGTCCTCTGAATCAGCTGAACTCACCCAGGCCTGAATGAAGTTCCAGGATCCTGGCTTCAGGGTGGCACTTTGCCAGCTGTTGTAAGCCTTTGAGGATATACCAGCAAATGGAAGAAATCTTTCTTCCTCTCCATCTTCCCTTGCCTTTAAAATGAAATGAAAAACTGATAGATTGAAAAAAAAAAATAAGACTCTTTGGTCTTGTGTCCTAAGAGGGAAAAATTACTGCTGCTATATGTGTAACTCATTTGTATACTTTGCAAATACTCATAAATCTCAACTTATAGGCTTGTTGATCACTACTGGCTGGGCTTTTCCACTATACTCTGTTGTCTGAATAATGCCTCATTCTTGGATCCATCCCTTTCATTTATCTGCACTTCACTGCAGGTGTTTATAAATCACCAAACTGCCTCCCAACTTTATATCCTTGTGTTCTTTATACATATCTTAAGCATAATCTTTTTAAAAAAATTTTTTTAATTTATTTATTTGAAAGAGTTACAAAGAGGAAGGAGAGGCAGAGAGGGAGAGAGAGAGAGAGAGGTCTTCCATCCGCTGGTTCGCTCACCAGTTGGCTGCAATGGCCAGAGGTGTGCTGATTCGAAGCCAGGAGCCAGGAACTTCCTCCTGGTCTCCCACGCAGGTACATGGGCCACCTTCTACTGCTTTCCCAGGCCATACAGAGAGCTGGATTGGAAGTGGAGTAGCTGGGTCTCGAACTAGTGCCCATACAGGATGTCGGCACTTCAGGCCAGGGTGTTAAGCTGCTGCGCCACAGCGCTGATCCTTTTTTTTTTTTTTTTAAAGATTTATGTATTTATTTGAAAGTCAGAGTTACACACAGAGAGAAGGAAAGGCAGAGAGAAAAAGAGGTTTTCCATCTGCTGGTTCACTCTCCAATTGGCTGCAATGGCCAGAGCTATGCCAGTCCAAAGCCAGGAGCTTCTTCCAGGCCTCCCACGTTGGTATGTAGGCCCAAGGACTTGGGCCATATTCTGCTGCTTTTCCAGGCCATAGCAGAGAGCTGGATCAGAAGTGGAGCAGCCAGGACTAGAACTGGTGCCCATATAGGATGCCAGCACTGCAGGTGGCAGCTTTATTAGCTATGCCACAATGCTGACCCCAGGCATAATCTTTCTTCAGCAGTGTGCTAACTTCTAAGATGCTTTATAGGCAAAGAGATAGTGGGGTCATTGATTTTCTCTGAGCCTTTACCCTAAGTGCGTTATTTTATGAAGCTGATTCTGGGTGATATGTAAACTTTGCCGGATCAGAAGTTAAGGCGCAGAGGTTGTTAGAGAAGTTGGGTTGTCACTGCCACTTTTACTGTGCCCTTCCCTGCAACCCATGCCTGCCTTTGGGTTCTGTTTTTAGTCTTACAATGAGGCTGTAGTAATGCAATAAAGGAATTAACTTTTAATTTTTCTTTTTTTTTTTGACAAACATTTTTATTTTTATGAATATAAAGAGAATGGATTCCATAAGAACATAATTCCATAAGAACATAACCATACTGCACTATCAGTTTCCCCCTCCTTTCTTTCTTTCTGTTTTGAAAGATTTAAGAAGTTGACTTTTTTCCCCTAACCTAATCTTTACCCCCTCACCTCTAGCCTTTGTGTCCATTTGTTCCTATTTTACAATCTGGTACTTTAAGCTCCTCCCCTCCCCTCTTACATCCATGTTTTTGCCTGCCCCACTTCAGTTTCAAAGAAGGAATAATGAATAAAAATCATAAGCTATTGATTCAAAGACAGAACTCTTATCTAGTATGTAATATAGAAAGAAAAACTAGCTGTTTTTTCTTTTTACTAAGGATTTATTTATTGATTAACCTTTCTGGAAGGGCAGCAGGCAATTCTGAGGTCTGTCCTTAGAATGTGAGGGAAGCCACAGAGATATTGCACAGACTCTTTAAAGTCTGTTTTACTCTGAGAGCTATTTCTCCACTTTACTGAGACAGAAAGAATGGAATTCCAATGGTTCTTTTCTGTGTTACTAATTTTTATGATGAGTCTTTTTTTCTCAATGGATAGAGACCTGTCAATTTGGTCTTGAGAAGAAACTTTCAGACACACTGCCTGCAGACGAGATGCATGCTTCTCCACGCCCCCATGGCCTTCCCCTGAGATTCCAGCTTGCCTCCCTGGATCTGCCTGAAGAAGCAGAGGAAAGAGAAGGTTCCCGCCACAGAAAGAACCTCACTAGAACAGTGGTGTGGTTGCTTGGAGGTTCCTGAACAAAAAGTAATCATTTAACAGCACCAAGGGCTTTTTATTTGTTTCACAGGACTCTCTTCCTGGATTTGCTGTAGAGGAAAAATCGCATAAGTTAAAACAAAAATCCTCATCCTTTTCTGCACATTGTTAGTGTTATATGGGTTTGAAACAAAAAATACCACTTAATGTCTTAGAACTCTCTGATGTTAAGAAGCACAAGAATTAAAAATTTTTATTTTATGTTCCTATAAAGCTCAAAACCACTAACATTGTGTATTTGTGAGTGATTTTAAAAATTCTAAATCAATTTCATTGATTGGCTTTGCAGAGTAGGAAAAATAGAATTGGTTTGTTAATTATTTATATAGAGAGACTATGAGAGAATCCATTCATTAGTACCAGTTGTCTGTGATAAGCTTTAGTATGTATGAAACTATATACTTTTGATTTTATGACCTATGTCCACTTGAAGTTTTGAAAGAAAACAAACAATAATGGTTGCAATTTTTATTTGAAAGGCAGAACTACAGAAGAAAGGCAGAGGCAGAAGCAGAAGCACGGAAGTCTTCCATGCACTGGTTCAGTCCCTAGATGGCTGCAACAGCAGAAGCTGAACCAATCCAAAGCCAGGAGCCAGGAGCTTCCTCCAGGTCTCCCACATGGGTGCAGCAGCTCAAAGACTTGGGCCATCTTCTACTGCTTTCCCAGGCCACAGCAGAGTGCTGGATTGGAAATGGAGCAGCTGGTACCTAAACCAGTGCCCACATGGGATGCCAGCACTGCAGGAGGTGGCTTTACCCACTATGCCATAGTGCTGGCCCCTGCAGTTCACTTTACAACAGAAATATTTATTTCTGAGTCTTTTCATATATTTCTGAGAAGATGATGTCTGATTTTTTTGGAGTTCTGTTTTGGCTCTTGGCTATTTTGTATGCAGAGTTTCTTAAAAGGACCTGCATTGTTAACATACATACTTGGGCCAATAAAGTCCTAACAGGAAACATCTGTGTTTAAAGTTAGATGCATGTTCATCATTCTGATAACATGTTTTGCTGCTGTTCAGTCTGTGACAGTGAGACATTTATATAAAAATCATGAGTTTAGTATGTGGTTACCCCACAAGGAATCTTATCTTGTCTGAATCTGAATCATTTTGATAGCCACTTGTTCTCAAGTTGCTAAATATTCTCTTTATTTGTATTTAAAGACTATTAGTGCCACAAAATTTTTCTTACTGTAAGTTGATTCCAGATAAGAAATTTAAAAATTCATACCTTGACTAGATGTTTTACTTTGTAACCATCATAGACTAGGAGGAGTTATAAACCATTAACCCTTATTTTTCTAAAATAAGAGACTGGGATTAACATGAGTATATAAAGAATTTAGAATAAAACATCTACCAACATCGTGGAGTTTGTCTCCATTTCAAAGCTTTTAATAACTTTGAGGTAGGAAATGCTATTTTGAGGCAATATAATTCACAAACAAACAAAAGACATTTTAGGATATTTTCCTTCAATATAAGTTAGATACTGTTAGGAAGTTCTAAATTATTTTGTGAGTAAATTATAATTCCTTTTCACCACTGCATTTGAGTAGAAACATAAGCTCTTTTTTTTTTTTTTAAAGATTTATTTATTTATTTGAAAGTCAGAGTTACACAGTGAGAGGAGAGGCAGAGAGAGAGAGAGAAAGAGAGAGAGAGAGAGGTCCTCCATCTGATGATTCACTCCTCAACTGGCTGAAAGACTAGAGCTGTGGCAATTCAAAGCTTGG